CCGGCCGCCGCTGGCGCCATGTCCCGCCGTCGGCCGACATCCAAATCGTGAAGTATTCCCCCCCCCCATCCCTTCTGCCGCCAGCCGGCCCGGAAAGATGGGCACGCCTGGCCGGGTGAGACAGGCAAAAGGCGCGAGACGGCCATGCACATTGGCCGAGGGAGCAGGGGAAGGCCAGCAGCCCTGCCGCGCTCCCAACCAATGTCCCCCCCCCCCCACCGTGCCCGTCTCACTACCCGGTCCCATTGATGGGGACCGGTGGCTCCCGAGCGGCCCAGCCTCGCTGGCACACCGTTCCATCCACCTCGCCCCCCCCCCTCTCTCTCTCCCCTTTGCCCCCTGCTCCCCCTCTCTCACCCCTTACCTGCCCCTTTCCCGTGTCCATCCCTGTTTCTCCCCTTCCCCACCTGCCTGCGTGTGTATGCGCGCACGTGCGTGTGTGCGTGTGTGTGTGTGTGTGTCTGGGCACGCGTGTGTGGACGGTGTCTTTCCCTGCCTTGCCCCTTGTTCGCAAGCAGGCCTTTCCCCCTCCACCCCTCTGCCCCCCCCCCCCCCCCTGCTACCCGGTGCGCCTCTTCCTGGCGCCTTGCTCACGACAGGTCACATCGTTGACGCCCTGCCAGCCGTGCGGTCGGGTGCAAGTCCGCGTGCCGCGTCCTTCGCTTCCGGATTGGAGCCCCTGGCGGCGCTGTCGCCCACGTCCATCCATCCACTGCCACCTGTTGTGAGGGCACGCCTTCCCCTCGTCCCCACCCCCCTGCCTCCCCCTCCCGCCTCCTTTCCCCGACTGGCACGCCCCCATTCATGACTGTCCTCCCTCGGCAGGATGCTCTCCAGGGACACTGGCGAGGGGTCACCCATTTCGTGCGAGGCGCAGCCGGCGCCCACCGGTGCTGCCGGTGATGATGGCTCGTCAGCGGCCAGTAGCCGGCCAGCGCCAAGCCCCGGCAAGCCGCTGACGCCGGACAGCACCCGCAAGGCCCCCATGCCAGGCCGCCATGTGCAGGCCTCGCCGCCGGGCGCCGTCACATCGCGCCCCGGCAGCCGGTCGTCAGCCACCGCGTCGACATGCCCCTCCAGCGAGCCCAGCTCCTCGTCCCTGGGGCTGCCCCTGTCCCCCTGCTCGCTGGTCAACTCCGGGGCGTCTGCCTCATCCTTGTTGTCGCCATCGCCGCCGAGCCAAGATCAGGAGCCCGAGCCGGAGCAGCAGCGCGGGGAGCAGACCGAGCCGCAGCGCGAGGAGCAGTGTGAGCCGCAGCGCGGGGAGCAGACCGAGCCGCAGCGCGAGGCGCAGTGCGAGCCGCAGCGTGAGGACCAGACCGAGCAGCAGCGCGAGGCGCAGCATGGGCCACAGACAAGGCAGGCCCAGCAGCACCAGGGCCAACGAAAACAGCAGCCAAAGCAGCCAGAGCAGCCAAAGCAGCCAGAGCAGCCAGAGCAGCAGCAGCCAGAGCAGCAGCAGCAGCAGCAGCAGCAGCAGCAGCAGCAGCAGCAGCAGCAGAAGCAGCCACCGCCAGCCATCCCCGGGCCCGGGGCACCGGAGCCCCGGGAGGAGCCCCTGTCGCCGGGCCCCAGCGAGCCGGCTTCCTCGACCGGCCTCCTGCGTCAGCGGCTGGAGAGCAGCTCCTCTCGGCACTACCGGGGGTTCCCCCTGGATGGGGCCCGATCAGCCAGTGCCGACGCCTCGCGCCTGCGCGTGGCCGAGCTCTACAGTGATGGGCACTCGCTGGAGGAGATTGCCAGCATGCTGGGCCGGTCGACGTCGCTCATCAATCTGCGAGTGCGGGAGCTCCGGTCGGCGGGGCTCCTGCCGGCAGCCTCCCCGCGGTCGCCCAAACGCCCTGGCTCCGGCGCCGGCAAGGCCCGCGCCACGGCCACGGCCGGCACCTCGAGCACCAGTGTGCCCGGGCCCCCGACTCCGGCCGCACCGACCAAGCCGGCCACCGGGGGCCCCGGCCACACCCATGCCACAGCGGCCCTGGTGGAGGCGGTGGCGGCTGCGCTGTTGGTGGAGAAGCCGAGCGTGGGGCCGCTGGCCGGGGCTCGGGCCTCGGCGGCGGCCCGCTCGGCCCCCCCGGCCCCGGTGCCCGGGTCTGCCACGCCCATGGGCCCGGTGGTGGCGCCCATGTCGGCCACTGCCCGGCCGGCGGTGGTGCCATCATCCTCGGGCTCGGCCTCCTCTTCGTCCGTGGGCCCCTGCCCGGCCGCGAGCCCGCCGCCGCTCTCGCCGACATCGGCCCTTCGGCCACCGTGCGGCCCTTTGCCTGGCACCACCCCGGGCCGGGACCCGGTGGAGGGCACGTCGTCGGCCTTCCCGGCGGTGCTTCCCTCGCCCGGGGTGCTGGTCCCCTCGCTGGCCCCGGGCCCGGGGTCCGCGACGCCGGAGCCGGCGGGCGCTTCGTCGCCGGTGCTCGCGCCGCTCTCGGGGTCGGCCGCGTCGCCGGAGCGGCCCCCCCCGGCGCCGAGGCCGCCCCCGGCCGGCGGCTGGCCACACCGGGGGGAGCTGCTGCTTCCCTCGCACCATGGGGAGCTGCTGCTGACGCCGTCCGGGGACTTGGTCCTGCCGCCGCCCGGGGACCTGCTCCTGGCACCGGGGGCCCTGTTGCCGGCGCCGAGCGGCATGCTTTTGGCCCGGCCACAGGTGGGGGCCTTGCCGGCGGGCGGCCGGCGGTCGGCCGAGCGCCGGTCCGGCGACAAGCGCCCGGCCGACGACAAGCCCCCGGCCATGGCCGCCGGGCCGGCGGCCCCGGCCCGCGCCGATCCGCCCTCGGCCACGGGGGAGGGCCCTTCCTCCAGCTGCTCGTCCAGTCGCCAGGCCAGCCCGATTGCCGTGTCCCCGGGCGAGGTGAAGGAGCTGATTCGGCTCAAAATCATCGAGCTCTACCAGCTGGGCTGGTCGTATACCGACATCGCGCGGCGAGTGAATCGCTCGGTGCCGCTGGTGTCGTTGCGTTTGCGCGAGGCCGGGCTGACTGGCCAGCGGCGCTCGGGCCGGCACAACCGCCGGGCCGGCCCCCAGCAGCCGGGCCCTTCGCCTGGCGGTGGCGCGGCCGCGGCCGCGGCCCCGGGCCCGGGCCCGGGCCCGTCGAGGCCGGCGTCAGCAGCGCCGGCGGCCGCAATGCCGGCAGCCGCAGCACCGACGGCGGCGCCGAGAGACAACGTGTCCCCGGCCCGCAGCCCCCGAGCCATGGGGGCATCAGCCCCGGGCCGGGGCCCGGAACTGGCAGACCCGGCCTCCCTGTACCAGCTGCTTCCCATGGCGCCGCCCGTCCAGCCCGCCGAGCCGGTCCGGCCCGCTCAGCCGCTCCCGGAGGAGCTGCCCTTTCTGCAACAGCCACAGCAGCAGCAGCAGCAGCCGGCGTTCCTGGCACAGCCAGCGGCCCCGCTGACCCTCTCGGAGATGGCCATGTCACTCCTGTCGACACTTCTGTCGGACCTGGCTGCCTCGCGCATTGTCCTCCCGCCGGGGGCCCTCGACACGCTGTCCGCCGTGACGGATGAGGCCCAGCTGGTGACCCTCTTGGCGACCCTCCTGGCCAGTGGCAGCCGAGGCGGCGCCATGGACACTCTCAGTTCTTCGTGGGAGCAGCAGCAGCAGCAGCAGCAGCAGCAGCAATTGCAGCAGCAACTACAGCAGCAGCAGCAACTGCAGCAGCAGCAGCAACTACAGCAGCAGCAGCAACTGCAGCAGCAACAGCAGCTACAGCAGCTACAGCAACAGCAGCAGCAACAACAGCTGCTGCAGCTGCTGCAACAACAGCACCAGTCGCTGCCCATGATGAACATGCCGGTCCTGCTTGGAGGGGACCTCTGGCCGGGAGCGGGCACATTGCCCGGGGCCGCTCTGGCGCCCGGGGCCCTTCAACTGTCAGGCATGGCCGGTCCCTCGCTCGGGCCGGGGGTGATGGGGCCGGGGACCGTGGTGCCGCCCCCGCCGGGACCGGGCACAGCCATGGAGCTCCTGCCTCGGCGCATGGACTTGGCACATCTGATGGCCCCGGCTGACCGGCCGTCGTCCGGAGAAAGTTCCTCCGACTCGGAAGGGGGCGCTGCGCGGCACTGACGGCCGCGGCGCCCGCCGGCTGTCGTGCCTGTGCACATACGCACTCGCACGCACGCATGCACCCACCCACACTCACACACACACGCGCGGGCGTGCCCTGCCCCACCGCGGCCGCGGCCCTCTCCCTCCTCCCACCCCCCTTCTTTGCTTTGTCCTTGGTGCGTGTATATATGCGGGAGAGGGGGCTTCGATGCCATGGGCGTCGGGTGGCGCGGGCCCGCCGCCATCGGCCGCGCGCGGACTTCCCGCGCGCCCCATAAAAGCCGCACCGCATCGCCCGGAGCGGGCGGTCGTACATGTCCCCCGCACGCGGGAGCGGGGGCCGGGGGCCGGGGGCCGGGGGGCGGGGGGGGG